ACTGGCCTCATATATATTTGGTGCAACAAAAAGTAAGTCTAATTTATATCCTCCTAGTTGATTGTCCGGCCAGTCAGGGGCAGACGTACATAGAGCCTTAAGGGGGCCATGGCCCCTCCCAAAAATTTATGAATGCAATTTAGTAGGCCAGCCAAACTGCCGTAATTCTTTATATTTTAAATTTTATATTTTAGATTTTATATTTTAAATTTCATATTTGAGTGATTTGTAATTTAGTCTTGTAATTTTTGAGTGTTCTCATTATTAGTCTGTAACTTTACTCGAATGTTGATTAGGTCTTCTTCTAACTAATGCATAGTAGGTCTTTGCAGTTTAAGAATTTTTGCACCGGAAAGCACACTTTCTAGCAAAAAATTCGACATTGGCGACATATCTTGCGGTGAATTATCGATAGGAAAGTGTACTTTCTGTGGAAAAGTACATAAATTGCAAAACAATATTAATTACCTGACCAAATTTACGAACAAGTAAAATATATAAAGACTAAAAACGAGCACAAAGTAAATTTATTGGGTGGAGCTAGGGGTACACACTTTTTGTGTACAAAAAGTGTGTACCCCAATCTTTTTTCAAATTTATTGGGCCAAAACTGCAAATTTTCATATACGGAGTACATTTTAATACATGTACTATATCTTGCCCCCTAGTGGTGTATAGCAATAACTTAGGTCGCTTATGTTTTAAAAAAGTACTTAGGTCGCTTTCCTACTATGAATTCCCCGTCCCGGTACAGTAATATTTTGAATTTCCAAAATCCCCTCCAAAAGTTCAAAACTTTGAAAGCCGAAAAGTGGAGTTTCCCTCCAAATGTTGAAAGTCGGCAAAGGCTTTCTCGATATTACCGCTCCTATAAAAGCGCAATTATAGAATCGCACACTACCAGCGTCTCTTCCGGCAAAACTGCGATCATGTCCGGCCTCGCAACCTTCAACGGCTTTAAGCATCCAGTTCCCGGCCCCAACTCCAATCCGAAGGCGGGCGAAATCCATGTAATAATCGGCCCCATGTTCGCCGGCAAGACCACCGCTCTCCTCCGCCGTATCAAATCCGATTCCAACAATGGCAGGTACGTTGTTATTCGATTCTATCATTACTGTTATCACCTTCAATCTATTCCATATCTGTAATTTTTAACTTTTAAGGCGTTTTTGTCTTGAAATGTGAAACAGTAACGTTGTGATGATAAAGTCGAGCAAGGACACCAGATACGCGGTGGATGAGGTGGTAACCCACGACGGCACTAAATTCCCCTGTTGGGCGTTGCCAGATCTCTCTTCGTTCAAGATCAGATTCGGATCCGAGGCCTATAAAAAGGTGCGTTTATGAGTTTATTGTTCATTTTCACTTCATCCGGACAGCTAATTGCAAGTCTGTACCGGATCGGGGTAATTAGTGGCAATTTTTTTTACCAGTCCATGATTGGGTTCCTTTTCACTTAGGTCGACGTGATTGGAATTGATGAAGCCCAGTTCTTCGACGATCTGTATGATTTTTGCTGTGAAGCTGCAGATCTCGACGGGAAAACATTAGTAATTGCTGGGCTAGATGGTGATTATTTAAGGTATACGAATATATTCATTGGAGCATCTTTACAAACCACTCGATGTGTTTTCGTCGTTTGTCGTCTCATTTGCTGCCATGTTTGAATTGATAGATACTCGAATGATATTTTTGTGTTGAGTGGTTCTTAATTTACGGAGTATTTCTTTATTTCAGTGTAACAGTGTGGGTCCTCTTTACCTTTTTTTTTCCCTATTTTCATTTCATAGATTTAAATGGAATAATTCCCGAAACATGACTCAAAATATCTAAAAATTTCAAATAGAATTGCTATATTTTTTCCCGAATAAAGATATTGTTATTTTGATCATTTATTCTCACATTTTGGATTTACTGAATTATAAATATGTACAATATCGCAATTGATGGCATTTTCATGCTAGTTGTTATTTTTATTGAGATGATAAAAATGTAATGTTTCTATTTTCGAATTCCAAAATTTTATACTCTGCTTATGGCAGTTTCTTATTTTAAATTTATAATTTCAATTTCTTAAAATACCACAAGGTCAAATTTAAATACTACAATTAAACACAAACAATCGTTTAGTTCTATGTGCTAAATGATGGTCTCATTTCTTATCTTGTGATTTAATCAATGAAAATGTTAAATGTCATTAACATAGGTTTGTAGTTATAATCATAACTTTGTTGATCATTGTCATGTACTCATGTTCAATTTTACGCTACAGTAACAACGATGCTATACAAATACGAACTACGAAGTAATAACTTTAGTACGTAGTACTCCCTCTGTCCCATTTTATCTGTCCTACTTTTCTTTTTGTGTAGTTCCAAAATAAATGTCTCATTTTCTTTTTGGGAAAGAAATATATGATCTACACATATCACTTTATTATATTCAAATCTCAATTATAATTTTTACTTTTTCAACCATTTCATTAATTACCATGCTGAGTCAAACTAAGACATAAAAAGGGACGGAGGTAGTAATACATTTGTTCTTATTCTTATTTCAATATTATTTCGAAAAAAGCTTCTTATGAAAACTACTACTCCGTATTTCAAGTTTCACAAAAAGAAAAAGTTAATTTTGAGTATAATGAAACTTTGACCTACAAAATACTCGTAAGTAATACTACCTCCGTTCTTAAATAAGTGCAACATTGCAAATTTTACACTATTCACATGTTGTACTTTGACTACATTTTATTTATTGATGTATTAATATATATTTTTGAAAAAAAATATTACTAAATTTGTCTCATTGTAAATTTTCAAAATCTGATTTTTTTAATTTTTTTACTAATAGAGAGTTATATATATTAATGGTCAAAGTTGTGTCTCGGCAAATGTGAAATGTTGACTGTTGCACTTATTTAAGAACGGAGGTAGTAGTGGTTTAGTAAATATGAAACTTACAATCATTTGGGACAAAGATGTTAATATGTTATCAATTAAGAAGTTTTTATTTGAACTTTTTTTGCTTAGATTAAAAACAAAACAAACATATGTTACACATTTACCAAAGCAAACTCCAACAAAATAGATATAAATATATCAAATGAGATCAAATAGAGAAATTTATGGAAATTCATTTAGACTCTTGGTGTAGATTTGGAAATGCAAATTGAGAGCTAACAAAATTGTTGTACCAATTGGGATACTTAAAATGATTTTGCTTGGATTGAAATTTGTTAGTCTGGTCTGTTCTGTTTAAGTCTGGCCTGAACTGATCTAGTCTGATCTGAATTGATCTGGTTTGGTAAATGGTTAGTGTTTGTGTATTTTATAACGGGATAAGGGTCAGTTTGATCCTCGAAGTTGTAAAAAAAGAGTCAAATAAGTCCTTATATAGAAGATTGTGTCTGGGAGTGCCATTTGAGATGGCTTCCGATGGAATTTTTTGATGAAATTTTTTGACCATCTTATTCATTGAGTCTAGTTTACTCATATCAAATTTAAGATAAAAAATCAATCGGGAAGACATTCAAATGAATTCTTGAAGATAATTGTGCCGTTAAAAGCGCAATTATCTTCAAGAATTCATTTGAATGTCTTCCGGATTGAATTTTTTGCTGAAATTTGGTATGAGTAAACTAGACTTAATGAATAAAATTCTCAAAAAAATTTATCAAAAAATTTCACTGGGAGCCACCTCAAATGGCACGTCCGTACAGAATCTTCCATATAAGGACTTATTTGACACCTTTTTTGCAACTTCAAGGACCAAATTGACCCTTTACTCATTTTATAACTATAGAAGTCTAGTTTAGCTTGGTCTGTTTAAGTCTGGTTTGAGATGGACCATAAATGACAAGAGGAATTGTGATCGCAGGAGGAGATTCGGGTCAGTTTTGGACATAATCCCACTTGCGAATACTGTCCAAAAATTGACAGCGAGATGCGAAATATGTGGGAAACGAGCCTCCTTCACCTTCAGGAAGATTGGCGAAACTCAGACAGAGCTAATCGGGGGTTCAGATATGTACATGCCACTCTGCCGACAGCACTATGTCATTGGAATAACACCTCCTACTAAGATTGCCCAGAAAGAAGAAGATTTGTTTAAGAGGAAGAAGATGCTTCCTGAGCAGGGTGATACGTTATTAGAATCCTCCTCATATGAGAAACTCGTTCCCTTTCATTAACTTTGTGTTATATAAATATATATAAATATTGAGTTCGCATTTACTAGGTGTTGGTTATTGATCGACTTCTTGTCGGTTGATTAATGCTTATTCTATGGTAATGGTATATAAAATTATGAAACAGACGAAGTTGAACTTATGCACATGTTTTTTGTATATATCGTTAGCCGCTTCCTTTTATTTGCTATTAAAATAAAAGTTTTGGTGGTTTGTTATATTATTATTTTTATTGTTACTGATATTATTGCTACTACTAAATTGTTTTCAAGAAATTCAGTTTACAAACATACTCCGTATATCACTTCGGAAATTCGAAATTGAAAGTTGAAACCAATGAGTCTTCGTCAATTATTTCAACATTAAATTCAAATAAAAGTTCAATGTGTTAGCTTATGACATCATGTGATAAAAAAGATTGCTCCTATTTCAACTGTCTAGACATCCAAGAAGAGCTCTAAACATATGATCTTCAATAGCAATATTTAAATCAACTAATAAATTGAAAACTTAACTTTATGAGATTGATAGCTGGTTGCTTTAATAATATCTGATGTTGAAGTTGAGGTAGCTGAAGCGGCATTATAAAGTCCTCTTCATCTTGTTTTGGGACTCATTGAGTATTTATCTAACCACCTTGTTGAAAACTAACCGGGAGAAGAAGAGGAATTGGCGAAAGAAGAATAGCAGGAGCCCAAGAGAAGCAGTCGAAAAGAAGAATATGGTTGTGAGTTTGAAAATTTTATTTTAAATAATCAAAAGGCCAAAGGTTGTCCAACACCTCAATAGACCCAACTTGGGTGCTAAAAAGTGACAAGTTTAGGTGTCAGGAAGGTGTTACCATGAACACATTCAAACATGTACTAACACCTCTATTTTTAATTTGTCTCCCAAACAATTGCTAAGGTCAACAATTATTGACACTTACATTACTAACACCCTAAACACTCCAACCAAACATGATCATGAACATACTCAAATTTTTAAAGATGGTTTCATCAAGATTTACAATTATTCATTAAAAGTGCAAAAATATAAAACAAAGAATAAAATTAACACCATATCAGAACGTTCCTTAGATAAAACTCAGAAGTAATATCCACATTTCTGCTAAAACTAGCATTCCTCTCAAAATAAGCAGTGTTTGGGTCTACTACAGATATGTGAGTCAGTGAGCAAGGGTATGTTTGGTCCCAATTTTTTTGTTCAAGACGGAGGGGTAAATTCTCATTTGTATGGGGGAGGGAGTTTAATTATCCCTCATATCCGTCCCCTCAATTTTCTTTTCTCATGTTTAGTAGTTTTTTGGAGAGATTAAGCTTAACTACCCCTCTTCACATCCCTCAACTAAACCAATAATGATAATACAAAAACACTTCATCAGCTAAGTCAGGAATGACTTTAATTGGACTGAAATTTTCTAACCCGGTCCGGTCTGTTTAAGCATGGCCTGAAGTATTTTACTATTGCCTAAACCTCACAAGTTTAGTCTATGTAAGTAGACTGAAATCAGTTCAATTCAAAATATCCCAAGACTAACCGCTAGAACTTCAAGAACAGTGCAATGAATTTGTAAATTCTTCTTTCAAAGTCCAGTAACCAATAAGGTGCTTATGAAGCAGTTCCAAATGTAATGCCCGTCATAGGTCATAACCTATTGTGGTTAGAGAGAAATGCAAGACTCAAAATGGCAGAAAGATTCATTTTTTCACAAACTATTACAAACCAACCAACAAAATACAAGTCATAATGTTTGGAAACAGTTCAAAAAACAGCCAACTGCACTACATGCTGGGGGTGTTCGGGTAATAGTGTTTTGCCCCAAAATTCCAATTTTTTTTCAACTGCAAACGCTGCAAAATGCAGCGCATTTGGACCAAGCCGCTGAAAAACAAACAGGGCCGCTCTCTTAACCAATAGCCCCTTGTATATCAATCCACTCGACATAACACTTGCACTTGAGAACCTTACAGTCTGTTTGGCTTTTGGAGGGCAGTGGTTTGGTGAGCAAAGTCTATATAAAGTATTAAAATCAAGAAAAACATTTTACATTTGAATTTACATAAAATTGAAAGGATAACATAGTAGGTGATCATTTACACCAACTCTTCATATGTTTTTAATAACATTCTATTTCTCAAGATATTAGCTAAGTTATTTATAGTCTAGGAATACATTTGAAAATTTATAAAAATGGAAAGAATAACATAGTAGGTAGTCATTTGAAATTTAAACCAACTCATCATTCGTTTTTAATAACATTCTATTCATCAAGATATAGGCTAAGTTTTCTAAAGCTTCCCCTATAAAACCTTCCACCTAAACTGTCCCTAAGCTAAAGCCCAAATCAATTCAAATAAGATTTTCATAGGGATAGCAATTAACTAGTATAATTGTATAACGAATAACATCAGAAGAATGGATACTAAAGATGTACAACACTTCACTGAAAAAGAAGATAATATGGCAGACTTCAACAATCAACCTCATAATCATCAAAGAACAAGTATAAAAAAACTACTCCGTATAATACATAACGCAACAGAAGGCATACAGAGTTACCAAGGAGGATTAGATCCGTCCTCTTTAACAGAAGGAGACCTAGAAGCAGCCAAACTATCATCTCTTCCGAGTCTTGACATACTCCTACCAGATTTAGGAGTGCCCAACCCAGGACTGGCACCACGATAGCTAGCCCTCAGAGATTCATCCAAAGACCGTGATGACTTGGCAATGGCATTCCTCACAAACTTCTGTGCAGCTGGAGATAGAGTCCGTCCACATGGACTAACACTCCCCCCTCTGACTGGAGAGTGCAAAGGCGGTTTCTGAAACATCTTTGTCCTCTCCCTGAGTTTCCTAGAAGCTTCCCGAGATAAAGAATGGGCCTTTACATCTCTTGAAGCCGGCATTGGTATGTTATAGTGGGGCCTTTCTCCATTACCTCCAATATCAAAGGGAGTGTCTTCTGGTTCCAACCTAAGTGGGGTACCTTCTATCTCACCCCAAGTGATGAAGGGGGAGCCATCAACACCAGGTGCAGGAGATGGAGTCATAACATAACTATATCCATTTTCAGCTTTCTTCCCAGATTCTATAAAGAACTGATTGGGAGTTTTCTTGAAATCTTCCAGATCATATTTCTTTAATTTATCCCCCCCTCTGTCAATAAAAGGAAGAGGTGTAGCTCCTGGAACGGGTGAATAAAGAACAGCCACGGTCTCATCTTCTTTCAGAAGGGTTTCTGCCATTTTACCATGAAAACGAGTATTGGGCCTGTTAATTTCCTTGGTCAACCCCTTGAGTCTATTAGCCATTTCTTCTTCTGTTAATGGTGCCTCTCCTCTATCAGCAGGATGGTACATGAGCAGGTTCTTTGCAGTATATTTCCACCCTTCTAATGTGGCAACAGGTTGATCCGACGTACCATATCCATCTGTAGAGACCTTTTCTCTTTTTGAACCCTCTATCAGATTTACATCTACCTCCTGCTTTTCACCTTCTAACAAAAAATCGTACCGTTCCTTTCTCTTCCTATTAGCTTTCTCAATAATCTTGAAGAAGCTCTCGTTATCCTCACTGGTGTACCTCCTCATGAAATCATCTAACGGCAAGGACGTATCAACCTCACCCTCACCAATTTTATTTCCAATATCGGTAGAAGTATTACAGCTATCACCGGCATCGCCGGTCATACTCGGAGTAGTGGTCTTGAAAACGTCGTCAAAGGGGGTGATTGAGTTTCTGAAAAAAGTCGAACCAGGGGTTCGAGATTTATTACCTGCAGTGTCGGAACCGATTGCCTTTCCGCGGCGGCGCTCGATAATTTTCAACTGCGCATCGCGAATCTGAAGAGGATCTCCGGTACGGACGGCCTCGAGCCAGTCGAGTCGATCTCGGAGCTTTGGAATGTCAGGGAAGAAATCCCGCTCGATGATCTTCTCTATTGCGGCGACGTATGTGTCTTCGTCTAGGACTTTATTCCGGCGATTCCTGGGGGCTGAATTCGTGGTAATCAACGAAGAACTACTGCCGTTCTTGTTAGGAGCGGAAGAATTAGGGTTAGGGGTTTGGTCATTTAGGGATGGGGACGGCGATGGAGTCGAGATGCGGCGTGGGGAGTGGCCCGGAGATAACAGCATATTGGCAAACGATCGGAGTAGGCAGTCGTTTAGGGCTCTGCGGCAGTGCAAAGAGGCAGATTATATGAACTAATCCGTGATTGATACCAGACTGTATATGAAACGAATTGGGATATTGATCGGGTCGGACGACGCGTAAAACGGGTCAAACCCATTACAAGAAGTACCATTCCATTAATACCATTCTGAAGTGTATGGGTTCTCCTGCTTAGGGGTGGACCTGGTCCGGGTCGGGCTGGGATTTGGGCGGGGACAGGGTTTGGGAATTGAAGGTCTGGTACCAGCATGGGTTGGTTCCGGGCAGGGCCCGGTTCGGGTCGGTTCTAAGTTTATTATTATTTTTTTAAATTTGGTTTTTCTCATTTATTCCTACCCCTCAAACCACCCAGCCCCATTTGCCTAGCACCCAATCCATTCGAAAAAAATGGGCCCGGACCGGTCTCGGACTGGCCGGGCCAGTCCACCAAATAGCCATCCTGTAGCCCACCCCAAAACCCCCCCAGTTCGGGCCCCAAGTCCCGGTCCCGACCGGCCGGTCCGGTTCGGTACCGCACGATAGCAGTCCGAACCGGGTTCCGGGCCGGTATGAAACGGCCCAGTCCATGCTATCAACGAAAAGTTTTAAATATGTACTTCAACTTTTAACAATTACTAGTATTGAATCCGGGCAACCGGATGGTGTTGATATCTTTTTTGAACGAAAGTGATTTATATTATGATAAAAGAACGCAAGAAGGTGCAAATCGATAAAAAAAATTGTTCTGCCGTCAGCCCTTGAACTAGATTTAGAATCTACCATCTTCGTAGAAGCAATTGCATTTGCTGATCCTGTAATGAGATTAACTGAGCCAATGACAGGCAAACCAGACTTCTCATTACTTGTCCTAAGTTCTAGAGTTCTTCTGCTAGGAAATAAAAACACACCCAAAACAACATGAAGTTCGAAAGCAAAACACAAACAAAATAAAACGAAATTAAAACATTGTTCATTCATCTTCTTCCAAACCCTAGACTCTCTTGCACTCCATGGCGGTGGCTCAGGAGGGGGACGGGCCTCCAGAAATGTCTGCTCCATGCGGTCCACAACGTCCTCCTCATCGAACACCAGTTCGTCATCCT